AATCAATTACTCATGCACATGTAAATCTACGTCGAATGTAGAGTTGAATTTTAGAAAATTTATCAATGTTCTCCATTATATTACTGTTTACATGTACAGTGTACATGTCCGCATCGTCGCATAAACAACAATGATCGATCCACAATACCATTACTGAATTGGAATATACAAGGGGCGGGGTTTACTGGCGGTGAGATTAAAGCGGGGTCCGCTTCACGCATCAGTGCGTAAAGCGGTCCCAGGAAGCGAACGCCGGGTTCGCTCTAGCGGACCCAGAGCTGACCCCGAGCGAACGCGGAGCGCACCCAAAGCGCACCCGGAGCGGTCCCAAAATTTCTGAAAGCGAACCCGAAGCGAATCCCGAGCGAACCCGGGAAGGGAACCCAGGGTCCGCTCCGGGTTCGCTTTGGTGTTAGGTTGTGTCCGGTCGGTACTGTATCTTTAAGAGTAAAACGTTTGCCATCTATGTCAAAAGTAAGTTACAGTCCCTGAAACGTTCTACTTTCCCATTTTTCCGTTCGCTCACCGTTCGTTCACCGTTCGTTCAGCGTGCGTTCACCGTTCGCTCTTCGTTCACAGTATTGCGTTTACCGTTCACCGTGCGCTTGCGTTCACCGTTCACAAAACGTTCACCGTTCGCTCTTCGTTCCTTTTACTTTGCGTTCACCTTGCGTTCACCGTTCACTTATCGTTCAGTCTTCGAAGTGAAAGAACTTATCTTTTTGATGGTAAGGATTTACATGTTTTTTAATTAAATAACGTAGATATCGTGTTTGAAGAATAATTATTTCATTGCAAAAATTATCTATGATATTTATACTTTTTTTATTATAACTCAGCTGTTACTTATTTCATGAATTTTCAATGGAAAATAATTAATACATTAAGTACCTACATGTATGTAGAACGATGCTAAAATATTAACTTCAAAAAAGGGCAATGTACAAATGTTTCACGCACGGGATCAATTTGATGTAATTTTAAAGATGACAAATTATTAGTGGATGTATGATTATTAATCCAAGTATTTTACAGAACAAGAATACATAAAAAGAATTATTTCTACAGTAACACGTATTTAAACTACATGTAGGTGTGAGAATTATGAACTTTACTGCAAATATTCAGTTAATTACATGTAAATATCTTTAGAGAAAATTAAATTGATGGTGTGGTTTTAAATTTTAGAAAAGACCAACCGTTTAAAATAGTCTATAATTAGAGAAAGGAAAATTCCTTGTTTATATGTTTAAAAATATGTTTTTGCCATTCAGTATAATTCGGCCCCCCCCCCCCCCCCCGCTGCCTTTTCTCCCGAAATAAAATTCTTATTGAGTTTTTACAGTATATTTTAATATATATTTAATTTTTATTGTAACACAAGAAAATCAGTCTTAAAAGCAACATCAAACAGTCATTAACCCCCCGTTCACACAGAGCTGCGACTCCACGGCGATTATCCCGATCAAGCCACGATTTGAAATTTTTTTTGATCGAGGCAGATCGCAGCCGATCGGCGTCAAAAAAGAGCAATTTGGCAAATTATGGTCTTCGTTACGACCGTACTACGATGTCCGTACGTCAAACGCGCTGCTAACAAGCTTCTACTACGATGTTACGCAGACTGTTGCCGACAAGCAGCCGTGTTTAGTGTGTTTACGCTACGCTGCCACTACGACATTGAAAACAATACTACGACGCTACACAGATCTAGATGACAGCGATGTCGCTACGGTGGTGCCGATCATGTTACGATTGCATTACGCTTCTAGTGCGATCTTGTTGATGATGTAAATACCCCAGGTATATCTTGAAACTGCAGATTTTTGTAGTACAATTTTAGCGATGATACATATTTTGCGACCGCAGTTTTTTTTTTTTTGGCCTTTACCACATGGTTTAGGGTAGCTGCAGATCTGTAGCTCTCCGAAAAAAAATATTGATTGTCCGGTCTATCAATATATATTTTTTCGGAGAGCTACAGATCTGCAGCTTGGTTTAGGGCATTTTCAATTATTATAACCGTAACAAGATGTGAAAATGCTCAATTGTAAATGATCATCAAGCATCGTGCATCAAGCATTGAGTGTCACCCTTTACATGTAATTAACAGATGATGATTGGTCAAATATCAGCGGTATAAGCTCTTGTCTGATAGGTCGTGATATGATCGGCGTAAGGACATTGTAGATCTTCGTAGGATCCTCAGGCACGTAGAGAGATCGTAGTGAGAACGTAGTATGAACGTAGAGGGAGCGTTGTATGAGCGTACTTAGTAAGTTTGTACGCTCTCACGGCGCTTTTACTACGATCATGAAGATCTCTCTACGATGCTTCCGCGCTGCTTGTACGATTACGGCGCTTCTACTACGCCCTTTTTACGACTTCACCCCGATTCTTGTTGGCCACGATCCCGCTACGCTTGTTTTGAACATGTTCAAAATAAGCGTGGTGAGAGCGTAGAGCTCTCCAATCATGAAGACTCTAATGCGATCATACTACGCTTCTGACGACCCCACGGCGTTCCTCCTGCGATTTGTTACGATCGGCCACGCTTTTGACCACATTTTGATCGTAGTAGAAGCGGCGTCTATGTGTGAACCGGGGGTAAACAATAGTATTTTAGTATAAACTTGTGCCGACAGAAGTATTTTAAATTGGCAGGGAATATGTTTCACATTCAATTTAAAACTTAATCCTTCCAAGTATATATTCGAATTATTTTTTTTCTGCAGGAATGCAAAAATGAGATCTAGAAATTATAGGGAAAAATATTAAAATTTCTTGGAATGCTAAGTGACTCTTTGCCTCCGGCGTGTTCGGTGATTTCCACATCTCCACTGTGTTGAATTATTTTGATTGACAGCACAAGCACGCTACTACAAATGTAGCACGGACTTCCTGTGAACTGTTTGAACTTGATGATGGAAAATAAAAGCTATTGATTACTGTCAAATAGATTTGTTAATCTAAAAAAAAGATTACCTTTATTGCTTGGAATATTTAGGGAAAAAATAAGAATTTTTATTTGATACAATATATATCTGAGAATCAAAGGGTATCTCTCTCTCTCTCTCTCTCTCGTACATTTCTCTATTCAATAAAAATTATGACAACACATTACTTATTTAGTTTTGAAAATTTAATCTACGCATGTATTATATTACAAATAATTTGAATGCCTCTTTCCAACATCTTGACCGAGTATAATCACGTCCGGGAAATGTCTACAGATACATGAAGAAGTTAGCTAAAATAATCTTCATAAAAGAATAAAAAGGCACATAAATATAGAATATTTTGCAGTGAATCTAAATAAAACGAGAATTTTTATGCAGTACAATAACAGTCAATGTCAACAGATAATTGTGATTTTTTTTTTTTTAAATCCGTTAATTTACTCAGAATCGCTTTGGCACGGAAATACATGTACGGTTGTTTTAACCCCCTACAATGTAATTAATTCATTCTATAAGTAGTAGTTTTATCTTCAGAAGTCCACATTATTTTATTAGTTAAAAGAATAAGCATAATTATTTACTATATTAGTAGATTAATTTATTTTTTAACTACACGCGGTAACAAATAAACGTTTGACGGCGATTAAAATTATGTTATTAAAATATCGATTTAAACATAGGTATGTGCAGAAAAAAATGTTTTTATTTATTCATTTATTGATTAAAAAATTAATTTCTTTATTTATCTATTGTTTATCTCAGTAGTAGTTTCATTTTCTAAAGTCCACATTATTTTATTAGTTAAAAGAATTAGCATAATTATTTACTATATAAAATTAATTTATTTTTTTAACTACACGCGGTAACAAATACACGTTTGACGGCGATAAAAATCATGTTATAAAAATATCGATTTAAACATACGTATGTGCAGAATTTTTATTTTTTATTATTTATTTATCAATTTATTTCTCTTTTGTTTATCTATTGTTTATTTATATTTATTTATGACATTTGAATTATAGAATAAAAGAATAATTTCAATGCAAGGAAAAGACCAAAGGCATTCCGAATAAATCGTTCATCTTGCGTTCACCGTTCGTTCACCGTTCACTTTGCGCTCGCGTTCGCGCTCCGTTCGCGTTTTGCGTTCACTCACCGTTCACCGTTCACACATCGTTCAGCAAGTTGCGTTCACCGTTCGCACATCTTTCACTCACCGTTCGCTCTGCTTTCGTTCACCGTTCGTTCAGCGTTCGTTCACCGTTCAGGTGGGAATGTAGAACGTTTGAGGGACTGTATATCCCAAACAGTCTACCTCGTTTTCTTGACGCCATGTTTGTTTATCAATCTAAAAGTAACAACGGCGTTACGTGATGGATTTATTCAAACTGATGCATGACTTTCCTTGCAGGATTATAAATGATTTTAACTTAATATATTTTAACGCGTTTAATTTTAATTTGTAATTTACAGTATTTTCGTAACTTTTATTGGTAAAAAAAAATATATAAATTTCCACCCGTATTTAAATTGACGCAATTTATAATTGTATTACTTTTATATTTTTTTCAACAAACTCATTTTTTCCAAAAGATCCTTTAGTCCAAAGCTTTCTTGCAAATTATCTGGCAAGAGAATTTTGTTCGGGCCATGCCGACAGAATTCAACTCTGCAGAGACGATTTATTTGAAGAAAACAGCAAATAATTGACTTCAGATGACATTATTACTAAATCTTTCTCATGATTCAGCGGGTCAAGCATACAACACAGAAGTTAAAAATTATGTGTCGGATGTGCAGATCGATCCTTCGGACGAGACCGTATAGAGGGATGTCATGTGTCGCAGTAGGTGTTAGAAGTAGTAACCATTTTCTTAGCGATGCATATTTTTGAATCACTTATGTAAACCAAATATCCCACTAGAACTGAAAATGACCGGGCATGACACATGATTGTCCCTATCCATCTTTTAATTTAAAAAAAACAATACAACTTCACATGTAGAACTTATTTTTATTGATGATTGAAATGACGAAGAATGGTTAAACTATTTATGATAAATGTATAGCATAGCCGTTTTCGGATACCGCTTAAAATACATACATTTATTTAATTCCGCTAAAACTCTTCTTCATAAACATGTTCATTGTTTCCTTTGAAGGAATATCTATCCAGTGGTGTTTTGCATTCTCTTTGTCCTAGTAAAAAGTGGAGTTTAGGACAGAATCTTGTAAAGGTGTGAGCGATCACAAGTACCAAAATAAAAATTCCAACAGCCACGAGTGCCAATATCAAATAAACCTTTTTATTTGAAACCCCTCTATTTTTTGGACTTATTATTCCTTCAGTTTCTGTTCTCGTATAATTCATACTTTCGATCATATCTGTTACTGTGTGGATTTCGATGTCAGATTGGGAACTTTTCATATCTGGAATTATAAAACAAATTACATTGTAATTGACTGAGAGATAACATATATATTTGTATTCTAGTATAATGGGAATATATATTTTTGGGGTGAAAATGTAAGAGAACGTTTACGTTCTGTTAGCAATAACTTCACTTCATAATACATCCACCCTTATATGAATATAATGACAAAGTCAGTGTTTCGTTCTGTGAAACGCAACATATTTGTTAGATCTACACCATCAGCAACATAATGTAAAAAGGAATCTGTGAAAGTTTCATTAAATTTAATTCCATGGTATTGGAAGAATAACAGATAAGAGATAGGAACACTTCAATGAAATATATGAAGAGAACAAACAGTATTTGAACTCCAAAGTCCATAAAGCAATACAAAATAGGAGCAGAGCAAACACGGACCTCCAAAACATCAGAGATGGGATCAGGTGCAATGGAGGAGTGAGCATCCCCTGCCTACCGGTCACACCCGCCATATTCTTCTTGTCTTGGTCAAGAAAGAACGCGAAAATCCTTCGCCTTCAGTGTGTAAATAATGGACTAATAATTAGTATGAAAAACCTCAGACAGCATTTGACTCAATGATAAATTGCAAAGTCATTGTATCGAAAATAGAGCGTACGAGATAATGACTTTTAATGAGACTGCTGATATTCTTGTTTCGTCAACTTGTTTGTCAAAAATTGACCTCGTTTTAGAAATTGTATATAAATGTAAGTAGAGCATGATCTCGCCTAGAGTTTCGAGTCAAACGAGAGATTTGTTCTACGTACGTGTATGCAGGTGATAAATGTACATTGCTGCATAATGAAGGGAAGTTGACGATTGAAATGTTAAAATCAATACGTTTATTAGATTGGTTGTTTGATTTCCAATAACGTCTTTTTCAAGTAAAATGTCTGAATGTGAAACAGATGTGTCAGACTCATATGGATCGTATCTTTTATCTTAATATCACAGGGATATATTATTTAATAGAATAAATGTCTGTGTCCATGTTTTGCTAAGAGGAACCTGACATATGTTTAGATCAGAAAGTTATATAGAAGGTAGACAATGGCACTCTGAAACAAAGATAATGTGAAAGTCTTATCAAATTCAATATACCATCCCTCTTTTCTAGCGAGTGGAATAATTAAGAAAAAAATAGAATAATATACATATATTTTCAATGGTTAAACTCGAATGTCGTCTTTATTCTGTGACTTCACAATCTTTGTAAGTTTTTTTAAATAGACAAACGCATTGAAATAAGAACAGACGTATGAATGATGGCACTTTAAACATCAGACAAGGATGTGTTTACCCAAATATAATACAGGGAAATTAACTTTTTTGTCGATTTTTTTCCAATTTATTTTATTCTCTTCCCTGTACAAGTACCGGAAAGATTTTCATTTAAAAACAGATGACACAAATAAAATATGGACGCTGGTTTGGTATATATTTATGGCCTTATTTCATTGATAATATAGAAAGATGCAAAAAATAAATTTCTAGAATATAAAAAAAATTGAAAACCTTGTATGATGTTCAAAAATTCCTCTTTGAGACCATCCTTATTAATCTATATAAATAATTTTACTACAAATCCCGTTTTAGAAAAAAATGAATAAAAAAATAATAACATTTTGGCGAAACCTGTTCATTTAACTCATTTAAACATGACCCGAGTTTTTTTCTTCATTTTAAGGGGTACAAGTTGTTTGTATCATCTGTCCTTGATTGTTATATTTCTTTATATCTTCAAAAGATTTCGTCCATGAATGTTTACATGAAATGCTTATTAAATTGAGACGTAAAATCTCAAATATAACCTAAATTTAAACGGTTAAAATATGCTCCAATTACAGTTTAAAATACTCTTTGTAATTTGTCTTCTCCGATACTATTTGTCCCAGAATAAGATATCTTATATAAATTCAGCTAAAATGAAATACTAAAATCTTAGTTTTCAAGTTGAATTAGTATTCAAGATAATACTATGAACACAATTTTGCACACTAATATAATTTGCTCTGTCTGGCTGGGACATCATTTTGTGTCACTTGCATGATTCGATTTTTTTTTAGTATTTTTAAATTTTTTTCTTATTGTTTGAGTGTGTTTTCTTTAATTTTCATTCTTTCCTCATCTTCTTTGTTTTTGTTAATTTTTTTTTTGAAGTTTCGTTTTTGGTTTGTTTGCTTGTTAATATTTGCTGAACATACGGAGATGTGAGTTAAGGGGTTTAGGAGTTGAAGAGTATTCAAAGTGACATTTTCGTACATTGTCATTGGAGTCAAAACTCAAATCACTAGATTAGGTTCTCGAGTCATATCTGCGAGAATGACGGAGTAAGTGCACATTTAATAAAGCAAATAAAAGGAACATATCTAGAAAGTGAAAAGAAAACATTTCAATCTTAAACGATGAACACATGTCATGCATGTATAAAGTGATTAAAATATTCATCCATTGATTACAAAATGAAATGTAACCTAACTTAAATTTAAGAAATATTTGTATGTATGATGAAAACAATAAGTGACTATTTTGTATCGATGCCAGTAAATAAATTGAAAAATTAGTGCGACCTACGAGACATAATTTAATACGCTCTATGTTGACTAAGCCTAGACTTTAATCAGTTTGTTTTATGTTATATGGTTTAGGGGATAGTTATAAATCTCTTTGTTGTAGCTAAAAAATGTTCAGAAAAAATAGAGCGACTTGATTTTGTGCTAAATTACCATCTCCATACATGTAACTAATGCTGTCTATAGGATGAAACCGTATAAACCGAGGTCCCGTGTCGCAGTAGATGCTGGTACGAAAAAGATTCCTCCCTGTCCAATATATAATGGCCTTGAGAACCGAGTATATGACAAACTTTGAAGTTCTACATCGGCAAGCGGTGGCGTCTCCATATGAGTAAAATATTCTCGAGAGGGACATTGAATATTATACAATCAATCAATCAATCATAACATGGCTTAACTTCGTTAATGAAACATATGAAGATGACGAACTTTTACAGGTAATAATGCTAACAATTTCAATTGACCGGAAGATCTTCTCTTTACTTTACAAAGAATTTTACTATATCATTACGGTTCTTATACTTTTTTTCAAACATTGATTGAAACATGCTCTTTTATATACCGTAAACAAAGACTAACTTGCTTGTGAGGATTACCATATCGCAGCATTCTTCAATTTGAAACCAGAAAGCTTTGTTATGTTACCTGAATGTGTTTCTTTAATCAAGAATTTACTACTCATGGTATCATTCCTGATCATTCTAAATTAGTGTATTCTTAAAAGGGATGGCTTTTAGTTGTCATATGTTTACCCTAATATATTTGTTGTTCGCATTCAAAGTGTTAAATTATTTCATTTATAAAAACAATATAGCAACCCATAGTGCATTTCAATCTGATGACGTAAGACTTTGTATTACATCTATACAACTGTTAAAATAGAGTTTTATTAAATCTATTTATATTAATGCTACACTGTTCAAAGAGTTGTGAAAATTTTGAAATTTAAAGGTTCTTTACCATTATGTATTTTTGGAACATTATAAGTATTACCTGAGACAGAAGTGTCAAATAAAGACGTAGTGAATTTAATTTCACATCCAGTGGAAAAATTGCACAAATCTTTCGTGCAGGCACAGTTTTTCTGGCATTCATCCCCATAGGTTGGATAAGGACATTTCCTAGTACAATTCAGTCCAACAAATCCTGTTTTACATGCTACGAAAAAAACAGTTATTTAAAATAGTAATTTAAAATAGTTATCTTCACAAAACTGAATAAAACATTTTTAATGGTGATGAAATACTATTTATAAAAAAGAATTAACCTACGTATACACTGTTGGACTGTAGCATTCCACATGTATCCAAAACAGCATTTGGAAAGCCTAAATTAAAAAAAAATCGGTTAAATCGCTTAAATTGGAAAATGTAATGGATAAACTCAGCTAAATCAAAATTTCAACTTACCCCGGACATTCCTCTGGCTTTGAGTCTATTTTGAAAAAAAATAAATTAATTAAAAGGTAAAATAGATGCATGAAAGTCATATTCTTTGGAAGAAATGAACTCATCGCTTTTTCACTCATTTAAAGCTTTGTGATGTATTTGATTTATTCAGTTTCCTTTTAGTAAGGAAGTATTCTAAAATACAGACAAATCATCTGTGTTGTTATCGAGAAAATAGGATATAATAGTATAAAATGTATATGTCTGTTATGCTTATTTTGAATATTTCTGCCCTTAGGATCATGAAACAGATTGAGATCTAGGTCAAAATTTCAATCGATTTTTGGTTATCTTATTTACTATATCAATCTCTAAATTTTCAGATCTTTAACAACAATTTTGTCGATTAACAATATACGTTTGTATATAAGCAAATTTACAATTAAAACATCAATGTAATTGTAACAGAGACAATTTGTGCCTCTGTTTGGGGTTGAACAATGGGCCTCTGGCTTGCCAAACCAGTGCTCTACCAATTTAGCTAAAGGGTTAACCCACTAGCCCAAGCTAGTAGAATGACATGTATCCCACTCTACCACATTGTACCCCTCCAGGGAATGAGATGTCCTCATCTCTTTTGGAGTGCCGACACCTTTGGGGTGAAGTGCTAGGGGCAATCACTCTTACTCACCAGAAAACACCCAATTCCCTACATGGGAGCCAATTGTAAGAGAGACAATTTGTGCCTCTGCTGGGGATTCAACCATGGGCTTCTGGCTTGCCCGTCCAGTGCTCTTCTTATTGAGCTAAAGGGTTAACCCACTAGCCCAAGCAGACAGGAGACACCCTGAGACAGAGATTGACTGTACACCGACAAGAAATGAGAAAACAAATATACCAGTATACCGCCGTATGCGAGCACATTAGGAACTGTGTCTAAATAAAAGATCCAATTTCACTGTTTTTCTTTTCTACAAATTCCGAAAGGAATCTACAGAGACAGAAACGAAAGAAACTTTTCATAAACAGATATAAATCTGTTTTTACTGCAACATAATCATAATTCGTTAAAGAAATATATATACTTTTTCTCGCATTATATAACTAGTATTTAAATAAAATCAAATAATTCCCAGTATCAAATAAATTACTTACGTTATATCATGACGTCATAATGGACTTTGCTAAAGCCTATGTAAAACTATTTTGATCAAAGAACCAATATCGATCTCAACATACATTTACTTCTACTGCTTTAGGCTCGGTTTCTACTTTCACTTTTAGGGTAAAAATAGTTTAGTTATAAACTAAATCTATATCTATTTATTATTAAACAATCTTTGACCAAATGTCATACATTTCATTTATTCCTGATTATTTTGGAAGAGTTTAAATTTAATTAGACTCGATCTTTTATTGATTTTCATGATATAATTAAAATAAAATTAAAAGAAAGAAAAAATATGAATATTTTATTTAACCTCTGTCCGTCTTGTTTCCTTCTTTAAAGAAATAGTTAGAAGGTCAATTAATTTTAATCAATTGTTTTGCAATACTTGATAAAAGATTATTTCCAGAGTAACAATATTCGTCATAGGCGCGATGTCCATATACAATAAATCCAAACGACGAGCGATCCGTGGTCCTCGCTACAATAACTCCGCTAGGAACCGATATTGTCCAAACACTGTAAGCAGTTCTTCCAATAAAAACATCCGAATGAAAAACTTTTTATACTCACGTACATTTGTTCCATTAATCTCAAGGTTTTTCATAGAATCATTTCTCACAATGAAAGTGGCAAAGCGGAAATTAAATCCACTTGGGATAATATTGATGTGTCCATTAAGATACTTGTTTATTCCTGGTATTGTAATCATGTATGGGCGCCATAGATGTCAGGTTTACAGGTTTAGTGACAGCAGCTGCAAAACTTATAACCTAAAAAAAAGCTTTATGGATTTTATAAAACATACTTAGTTTCTTTTTTTTGGATGCTCAAATCATAATACTCATCATAAAAAAAGGTTGATGTTTTGTTGTTTCCTTCAATTGTGTATGTACCCGAGGTATAAAAGAAGCTAGCATTCGAATCAGTGTTTGGTAATGATGCATGTTTGGAGGAGAAATAAAAATGTTATTTTATTCATCCACCGGCAGAACCATTTCCGTAAGCATTTTACATCTTCCATAGTTTCTAATCGTATTACATTTGTCTCCGTCCTCCTTGTGGCGCAGTGGTTAGAGCGTCTGCTCTACAGTTGCGAAGTAAGGAGTCAATCCTTACATCGCGGATTCGAATCCCACTGTGGGATTGGAGACCGGTCCTTCGGGTGAGACCGTATAAACCGAGGTCCTGTGTCGCAGTAGGTGCTGGCACGAAAATGATCCCTTCCTGCTCAATGCCCTGAGTGCCGAGTATAGGACAAATTTTGCAGCTCTCCATGGTGGCGTCTCCATATGAGTGAAAAATTCTCGAGAGGGAAGTAAAAACAATAATAAGACGATAAACAAGCATTTGTTTCCTGAGCAAAAACAGCTACCGGATTTGAAGCATTGATCACTGTTCCTGTTCACTTTTTTACACATTGCACCACTTAAGATGAATGCAGGGATATAAAAGATATAAAATGAAACTAGCATTTTTGATCAGAATATGATTCGGCTGCAGCTGAATATCACCTTTTGATCGAATTACAACATGCACAAAAACGATCCCTCACTTCTCTATGACCAAGCGAGCGGAGTATAGGTATGAATATGTAGAGTTAATCGGCAAATGGTGGCAAATTACTGAAAATTCTCGAGAAAGACTTTAAAACAAAAAAAAAATAGTAACCAACCAATCATTTTATAATTCTAAAATAGTCACAAAGAAGTTATGAATGCGCTTGTCCTTGTAGAATCTACTGCAACAGTCAATTTTCTCTTTATTATCTCTACACTTTTTGGGACCATCTTTCTCTTAACCTTTTTTTCTTTCTTCAATCTACAACTCATAGATATAACAACTCATTAATATCTATCAAATTGTAATTCATTTAATTTATTGCATAGAAAATAATGAATGATTGTTTCAATTCTATAAGCTCTTAAAAAAGACGTGAAAATTGTAATGAATACATTTCTTTGAAAACAAGAGTATAATTTACGAGCGGTCTTTCATTAGAATTATGCATATTTCTTACAGTTGTACCAAGGTAGCCAACCTAGGTTTTATTTTGTGAAAACTACACTAGAGATAGTCTTTAATTTGATACTACTTGTATGCATTTACATTAACTTCAGTATATATACCAAGCCTCGAGAAAATCTACCGTCCAGCTACATGTTTTTTACGGGGACCGTCCCAAAATACAGGTACATTTACTATGGGATTAAAAAGGAAATCACACAAATACTACAATAGACTTTTCGCTCAAATTATAAGATATGACGAGTAATACTTTATTATACATTAATTGTAAGGAAAAAATTACACACCGTCTTATTTCCAGAGGGGGCATCTCAAAATGCAAAGAATCAACGATCCTTCCTGTTTGTATAGATGATTCAAAGATTTTACATAACAGAAATAATGAAAATGATCGAGAGATTTTCTAATTTTATTGTTTCAAATTTCAAGACCAGATCTTGGATAAGAGCTACGGTTTACTATAATGTCACAACGTCAATTTACCTCAAATTGAAATTAAAAATCGTTTACAAAATCAGCCATATGAAATTATAATTAGATTTTCTAAATTTGGTTAAATCTTATTAATGTCATAAAAAAAAATCAATCTTTCAAAACGATGTTTACAAATTATTTCTAGTAACAAGATGAATGCATCGCATGGCGTACCTTACCGTACCATCAAAGACTCAGAAGAAACGTTTTGTTGTACTTATATAAAATCTATGAAGATCTTTGTAATCTTCATCCAGATATGATACAATTTTAGCAACTCTTGAAAAGGTAGAGAACAACATATTTCAAAAGATTTTTGTATTAACAGATATCCATTCATATAATGCTTTACTTTGAAGATGCAATTGCTTGTATTTTTATCATCTTGACGGCGGAAAAACGGCGAGTATATCTCGTAAATCTCTGAGGTCGGAAGGTAACTCAAAGAGCAAATATTAGTGATTTCACGAAATTTTATTACCGAATCGGTTTGTTGATACATGTATTCTTGCAAAGTATTTCAATGTTATATACAACTGGTTTTACTATTATGTTTGAATCAAAGTAAAAATTTTAAAGATAGTAAAACAAATTCATGTGTATGATATCGAATTTTAGCATGCTATGTAATATAAACTTTTTCCCATACCTTCGTCTACCATTCGTGGTAAAGCATACGTTTCTTTATATCTGTCCCTGTGTTATTTCTAGTTTAAAATTCATATTTCGAAGTTCCAATATCTGTATATTCAAAAATAAATAAATAAATAAATAAAACAATTCAAACAAAACTAAACTGCATTTTATCCAGAGATAAATTTTATTCATATAATTCTCAAATGTACAAGAAATCAAAAGATGTACATAAATATTCTTATTATACTTCTGTTAAAATGTTTCCTACATAAAGTTCAGAGGATAAAATAACTATTCTTTATAGTCTGAAAATTTCCCCGCATAGAAAGCTATACCCCAGGGTATAGTTTTTGCTTCCCACCCCTCGGAAAGTTTTCATGCCATGTTTGACGCCAATTTTGATTTCCAGAGATAAAACCATAGCCTGATGATGTCATAATGACTTCAGAAGCATTGTGACGTCATCAGGATTTCGGCTCATCCTTGCAGTATTATCTAACTCCAAAGAAAATTCAAACCTTAGAAATTATAATTAACATCAGTATAATAAAACATTTATCCCATGGTTGTGAGTGGGATAGCTCTTTCATCAAACCCTTGACAAGAACTATTCCCCTCGGGCAAGCCCCCGGG